GGTTTCAGGCTTTATTTCGTCATGCTTTCTTCTGGAATTAACGGCACTGCCGCCATTCACATTTTTTATTTTTATACATAGTTCGAGTATGCGATTCATTGACCGGTGTACCTTAAAATTATAGTAAGATTGTCAACTCCTGCCATCGGAACCTCTTTGGCCGGCCGCTTCATTATCTGTTCACGAATGATCCTTATATCTACAGTAGCGAATCAAAAACAATTACAATGAACCCGCCGTGATTTGCCCTGTTAGACAATGCCATATTTTGTCTCCTCCCTTTATCTAGAACCCTAAGCGTAGCTTGTAGAATATTAAGGATCGCATTTCTTAAAATGCCTTGAATGGCCATATTTACTCATCCTACCAATAATAGAGCAGTTCACTGTCAAGAGCAAGTTCACTAATTTTATTGTAAACATTTAAAATACGCAGAAAATTATTAGGGCAAAATTATTCGCTGCGTAACGTCTGCTTCGGCATGCAAACAACAACAGTTTATTGCTCAAACTCAAATTCGACGGACTTTTGAAAAAATTAAGGTAATGAAGATAAAAAATGAAACAATAACGTACCGGGATGACACTAAATAAACGTGAGCCAGCTCTGATCACAAATCCATAAAATTAATATACACACAATTTTTCGAACAAAATAAGTTTTAAAGTTTCCGGGTTAAGCAGACAGTGCGCAGTGTTTGGAAACACAAAATTTCTGCAGTTTAAAGTCTCCCGTATATTTATTATCTTAAATTGATCATGTAAATTGATTGTTTGAACAGCAGCGCGAAAGACTGTTGTGTAAAAGATTCTTTGCATCGACTAGGCGGTTGCTCATAACCTGTCTTAAAACCTGAATTAAAAGTATACTTTAAAAATATAGACTCTATATGCTATTAAGGGAACTGAGATGCCACTGCTTTTGGCCGCCGAATGCAGGAAACTGAGATGGTGCATGAGTAGTCACGTAATAAAAACAGCAAATAGGCAATTATTGCGAAGGCTATCAGAATTTGCTAGGGGCAATAGTTGCCTTTTGAGTTTCCTGGGACTGACTGGTGAGAATGCAGTACAAGAATCTATCTAATTAAGTAGTTTGAGAGGGAGGGAAGTTATGGATAGTTATGATCTTCAGCAGATCAGCCGTGCACTCAGTACGACAATCTTTTATCATTATTCAGTTTTCAGCTATGGCAACGACAGTATCTTCAATAGGTTTTTCAGTGACAGTAGTGGTCCACGAATCGTACAAGCCTTCCGGCCTGGAGTGCAAGGCATGGCCATACCAAAAGTTCAGTGTTTCTGAGGAACTTGTCTTTTAGTCTTCACTTCATCTTTGGCCGAGTGGAAAATAGTTTGGCGCACCCAGTAACTCGTGGGTATATTTTGTCCATCATCCAAGCCATCGCAGTTGTCCCATTAGCAGGCAGACTTCACGCCCTAAAGCAGCTGCGAAGGGCGAACTTGCTTAGGAGGATAAATATGACCTCTACCAACCAGCAACAAACATCGCTTAGATCCTGTTGAGAAGCCAAAGCGTAAGACACCAACAACGTACATAATCAGAGTACTCGGTTCTTGACCCTGACACCTCAGATGACGGTGAGAACAACAGTTGTTATCACTCAATTTGACGACGAGGTGGGTCACAAAGGTGAGTAACCTCGGATCCATCCCAGCCCCGCTACAACAACAGTCGATTCAAGAAATCTAGTTTCAACGTTTGGGATCCCGGATAACATTCTGTTCTTCATAGTCCTGTTGTCCGTAGGCAAGGGTAGATGCACAGGCATACCAGATGACAGATACCTTCGCATTAGTGCTCAACTACTTTACATCGCACAGACCAATTAAGTCGTAGATTGACAGATTTATGAACTAGTTTATGCTCCTGCCTCTCGTCAATTGTAAATGCCATCATGGGACATTCAAGCTTCCCAACCTGCCGGTGTTTGATTTTACAAACTTTAGGGTATAGAATGAGTCAATCGAGATACAAAATTTACGATTATTATCAAATTGATCTTCCTTCCAACGTCACTGTGTGTGGTTAAAGCCCACTAATTTGCATGGGAGGAAGCGATTATGATGACATATAATGCAAATAGCAAGTTACCCAATCAAGCCTTTTTAACTGTGACACTTTCTCTGCGTAAGCTCTATTTCTAGGAGGCAAATTTAAGTTTTAAATAGTAGTTAAAACATCAGATACAGGTATGATGCACCTTGCGAGGCACTAACTTTCGATGATTAACCAGAGATGCCTTTAAGCAGTTGTATGGAGATTGGATGGTCTCCTAACGGCCGTGCATCAGCCTCAAATTCTCGCATTATTATCCTTAAATTCAGTCGGATCACTAACTCACACAATTCCAAATCTACGGAGCAGGAATAAATCACATTCGCATATCGTAACATTTTGACAGATCAATGTTGGAGAAATGATGAGGTTGTTTTTCATTATTTACCAACAAGTAGTAACGTCTAAAACTTCAGCTTGTTAATAAAATCTCTGCACTGAGTGGGAAAGGCAAATATTTTATAAATCATAACATTTATGGCATTTAAATTCTTAGATTCAGAATCGCAAAATTTATGATCACCGATATCTCCATTTGGTTGTGCTGGTTGTTGGACGCAGTTCAGGCGCTGGTTCTGGCTGGTCCATCTCGACGCTGCTTTGTTTGCTGTACCGTATCAGATTTGGAGTACCTACGCAAATGCTATTTAACGCCACAAATTAAATTCTGTATTAAAATACTTTTGGAAGGTTTTGCAAATGCACTACTTTCGGAATGATGACGCCTCAAGGAAATGCCCTTGAAAGGGTTTATGTGAATTCGACGACATTTGAACGTAAAGGGACGCTGGCTATCGTCCAATCCTACCCTAGATCAAAGTTTACGAGCGCGAATGCGACATAAATAGCTTTTTCTACCTGTATCCAATATCTCAGAATTCATGGTCAATTTTTGCGAATCCGTGCAAAGTGACAACCGCCAAGTCGCCAAACACTTCGTTCTGGTCGAAGAGGAATAACATCTCCACAAAGACTGAAGAAATTAATCTGACGGTTAAAAACAAGATTTTAAAAATATAAAGTTATGAATGTTATGCACATAAACTATAGATTTCGCTTCAAGTGACAATAAAGGGCTCTTGGGAACTCCTCCAGATCAACGGTAGGACGAACTCAAGAAGTTTGCTGGTGCAAATAAGAATCGCAAATGACAAAATTTCTTGGGAAAATTTTGAAGAAACCTTAATCCATCATAAGATCGAAATAAGCTAATGATGATGATAGAAAATATAAAACCATATCTGTGTAGCAGGCTGCACTCGACCTGCTGAAAGTGATATTTCTACCGGTGGATATGGCGTGATCATTACCGCAATATAAGCTGACAGATGGACCCAGTTGATGGATGGTGCAACTCATCATGAAAGCTTTCATCGTAATACCAGGTGACATATAATACTGACGGCATCGTTCAGTGAGCGATAACACTTGTCACAGTGCCATAATTGCGTGATCAGTGGTGTGGACCAGCAATGACAGGATGCCTGGTATCATCGCCAGCGGTACTGTGTAGGATAGTCATGACAGATCCCATCATGTGATCGATGGCACGGCCCAGGCATGACGGTAGCCAGCTCGTAAACCTTCCATTTGATCGATGGCATTGCCCAATCCTTGCACAGCGCCATATGGGAAACATGCTGGTGATGAACAAGAATTGTCTCTAGCGCTCGAAGAACATATACCTAAAAGCTGGTTCGGCGTTGAATGTGGGTATGATTTTTGACATGTTACATTCTTATAACTTATCCATAGAAAATAAGCTTCTTCGATCAGGCAGCAGTGCACCTTTCCTTGAATGTGGGCAAGTCTCGAATCAGCTGTCAGGATGCATCCTCACCACAGCAGTATTGGTTGGCGGTCTGCTGTAGACTTATAAGAAACACTAATACGCCGATAAACTTATTGAAGCGAAATTGAAGCCAAAAAACTGTATTGTTCATCTGCAAATCCTTTGCACACTAAGAAAATTTCTGTTTATTTTCATCAATACTGAAAGATCATTATTTCCCTAAAAACTGCAATTACATGAGCTTTATAGGTATGAAATAAATGATCCAATTATTCAGCTGCCTGCTCATATAGAAGTGTTTCGAATATGCAGCCTGTGCATGGTCTCCTTTTCGCAGGGATTCCTTCATTTTATTGGCAGTATCGACACGAACGTTATGCTAGTCAACCCACAAGATCGGGTTTATGTTTATGCATAAGAAGCTTGCGGATCAAGTTACGTTTCCGGATACCTGGAGGCCTTTGTTCAGCCCTACCTAATGATGCAATTCTACATCCATGTACTGCAGCTCAAATGCCGTTTAGCCGTGACCTGCTAAGCAGGCAGTTAGAAACAAGGTGACAGTGCCATTACGCCGCTTCAATCCGGCATCAAAAGGGATAGGTTTATGCCCTCATTTTGTTGCTCAGATTAACTGCTCAAGTAAAGTGTGGCAAGCACATTTTGATATTGACACAGTACAAACCGACTGTTGCACTGGAATTTGTTCTGATGTGCTGTCTGAGATTTTGGACGTCAGTTTCTATATCTTAACTGCCTTCTTGCTCGATCGTGTTTGAATGTATGAAATCTTCTGCCTTCGATTGCTAGTCAATGAGCTCCTTCAACTGGGCCTGTAAATTGGCGATCGAAACCCAACTGTGCCATTCGTCTTCAATCCTTCTGAAGCATTTAACGAGTCACATCTTGTAAATGAACGAAATGGGAACCACACACTGCGATTGCTGCGCAACAGCACAGGTTGGCTCAAATTAGCAAGGAATTTTTGGCTGATGGCGTAGAAGTAAGGACAAAAGCCACGTCATACGCCCCAAGAAATAAGAACATCAAAATGAATTCATTCTCAATCAGTTTCAGTCACCGCTTATTCGTTTGGATCACGTAGTTTCACACTTTCGAACAGTCAGTTTTAACCAAATGCCAAAGCAATACTATTTCTGACAGATAGACTTCGAGCCAAACTATGCACCTGAATGAGAGTAGCAGCAGCCGGAATCTGACGTTGTTGCTGTTTCTCTCGCTGGTTCTGGTGAACCCTTAGAGCAAAGCCAGATCCAAGGATACCCTGAATCACAAAATGGGTTTTGAATTATGAACGATCATTTGTTATGGTCTACACTTACCGCAGGCACTTGGAAAAACGCTGTCAGTGTCAGACAGAAGATACAGGTCAGTATTTTTCCAATCCATGTCAACGGTGTCATGTCCCCATAACCAATAGTATAAAATGTTACCTATGAAAGTAGAAATTATGCTGAAAGGTACAGAAGGTATCATATGCACGTCATTAGAGTAGAACATACCATTCCCCACCATAAGGCATCTGCATAGGTTCTGAACTTCACTTCTCCAGACGAATCCACCGCATCTTTTTCAGCGATGAAGATAAAATATGAGGCGAATATCAGACTGATTAGAGCGAGGTACATAGTAGTGAGGAGCTCCTAAAACCAGACGTAAGCTTTGAAAATGCAGAAATATGAATAATTTATACGACAAATTGAAAATCAAAGGAATTAAGTTTGAAGAGTTTGAAAATATATTTTCTGCTTGCAGAAGTCAAAGTAAAAAATTAATATTTTATACCGTAATAAGCTTTCTATCAGTCAAACTTAGCATCGATGTTGTGGAGGGTGGTCAGCAATCAAAACAAAGGATGATATGACCGAACGAAAAATATGAGAGCATTTCCTACTCAAATGCAAACATTGCTCTGAAGGCCATTGATCATTTTCTAGACCTTTAGTGCTACAATAATTACAGGTAGATCTCTTTTCGATTTTAAACCACTTGCTTAAAGGCGGATACATTGGCTTGAAAGTCTGATGCAGGATTTTTGACTTCATACATATTTTCCACAAAAAGAATATTATGAATGATGATAGTGAGTCAGGTTCGGTTTATTGCTATGGTAGATACGGATAATCGACTAGTCAGCAAGTTTCCAGAAATTGAAACAAACAAAAACGATTTTGAAAAAATAAATAAAAAATGAAAATGATGGAATGTACAATAGAGAATGGATTGATGTACAGCGGATCATTTCTGACAAGTTGGACTAAACCAGGCTTCTAAAGGTATCCGGGTCCCTAAAAATGCGGATTAGCTGAGGAAAAACTGATCGATTAAGCGCTTCATTTCTGGCGTAAGTACAACTAATTTCGCCACGTCTTCTTCACCCTCGATATACAGTTGATCAGACCATCATGCAGTTGATAAGTCGGAACGTCGACGACCTTCTTGGTGATGATTTGTTCATATGGCAGGCCGGCTGCTTTGGCGAAAAGCTCGAAACACCCCGATCAGAACACTATAACCGATGACCCACGGTACTCTGAAAATCACGGCTGTATCATATGCTACCATAGAGGATATGCATGACCTTGCTGTATCTTCGAGTATGCCCAAAGTTGCAAGATGGGTGACTGCGAATACCAAAAATCCTGCTAAAAGCTTTGCTATCTCATCACAAAAGGAAACACCGATGGTGAAGGTAAATAAATGAACGAAGAAAAGAATGATTGAACGAGCTAACAGGCCACTAAATGAAAATGCGCTAAAACATCAAGCTGTATTTTGAAAGATATATAATGAAAACGAGTAAAGGTTATTAAGATATAAATTATTTTCGAATGTTTCACAACCGTTAAACTGACAGCACTCCAATGCAAACACCTGACTAAATCTCAGCATAGTGCACAACCACCTGTTCGAGTTAACACTACCACAATCACTATTTATCATTTTTGAACACGTACCATGAAAGATCTAAATGTTGGACGTTCGGAAGCGTGAAGAGTGGCTAAGCATATTTAAAATTGTTGAGGACTTACTTTTCGATGGCTGTGAACGACCGATCCAAGCAACCGCCATGTGGCACCGTGGCGATCTATGCGCAGGAGACGAATGATATCTACGAAGCGTAGGCCTCTGCAACTGAATGTGGAAAGATCATATGAGCATCAAAAACGAATACCTGAGGGTCGTTTCATTAAGAATACCATTGCTGCTTCCAGTGACCAGCAAAACAATGGAAGCAGTCAAGGAAATCACATCTAGTGACAAGAAAATTAAAAACATAGCTGAAAAAATGGAACTAAGCAGTGATACCAATAAACACTAATACAGAAATATTACAAACTAATAACCTAATCAACTTTAATATGAAGGCTATCTATGACAAAATCATAGGGCGTGAATTGAAATGGTGAATATTCTTGGTTTCCAGCGTTTGTCCAATCGGATGGCTGCTAAATAACTGAATTCACAGACTTACGGATCTGACCCTTATTTATTTTTATTGAGAAAACTGGAAAACTTTATGGAGCTTATAGAATTACAGGGATTAAACCATATGTTCTCCTTACCGATTACGGGCATGCACTTCCTTGCGAACTGAAGTCGGCCACGGATGCCCGAGTATTTTGAGCGACACCCGCATGACCATAGACGCATAATGTATTCCATACCAAGCAGAGCAGTGAGTGAAACCTCCTGAATGTACCGCATCATTTTAAGAATAGCTCATGCGAAACATTGCCACTACCAGACAAAATAGAGCAGAGTTTGCCGACGTTACATACCGCGGTGTGGTCGACATGACACTGAGCACGATGCATGCGATGATAGCAATCCATCTGAACATATACGATTAAAATGGTACAACATTAATAGCGAAATTTCACAGTACAGACAACATGC